CTTTGTTGTTATATTCAGGTGACGATTTACCATTTACCAATCATGTTTGATAAAATACTATAGACCTTTTCATTTAAGTGATAAGAGTCGAGGATAAGTTACTTCCCTTATCGGATGTGACGTAATATAAGGATAATACTATACAGACAAAATTGTTCCAAAGATTCAAATTTAACCGCCTATGATACGGCTGCGTTTTTCATAATCTTTATAATGCTCTATTTTATGCAATACCTTGTTTACTTTTTTATTAGGTTACACAAAAGATGTTCAAAAAGCACTACACATTTCTAGTTAGAAAGATATATATTGCTCGTCAAAAGTTTTACTTATTTGAATCTATAATATGCGTATGATTAATTCCAGGTACTGAAATACGCTTTATTGTTCCTAAAATCATTTACAAATCGCTATCTTATCATTCAAAATACCTTCACATTGTGATTTTGTCTAAATCGCTTTGAGTGCATGCATTTATGTTGTGATACGTCTGAGAGAAACGAAATGCAATTATGTGAAGAAAAACAATAACCATTTGCAAAGTTGAAGCCCTATTTTGCATATACATGAAGTATATAAAAAGATTACAATTAATGTTAGATATTCTACATACATTTTCTACTATCTAATAATAAGCAGCATGTAAAAATGGGAATGTGAAACAAAAATAAATGACAAAAAGTTTCTAGCCACATCATCGAGTTAGTGAATCAAATGTTCAAAAAATCCTAATACATACTACGAATAACGGATTTTTAAAACAATTTATTTAAAATAAGACGACAAAAAACGCTATATATACTATTCGTTCTGTAATGCATTGTATAAATTAAAAATAAATAATAACTGTACTAATGTAAATATAGAGACAATAGATATTGCATAACAAAGGGTGTATTTAATTAGTATATTAACTCTATCATTCTTACAAATATGTCTACATTTCACAACTAATGATACATGTAGAAGAAATTGATGTTTCTATAAATTTAACAGTGCCTCTCTGCGTTAATTGAGACTGATTCATATAGTTTTATATACACGGCTGCTGTCAATATGAAGAAATCTCACTTTTTTCTTTAAAAAAAGAAGTTTCGTTGCATTAAAAATTAGTTATAAATATTTCAGGCATAGTGATTGGCCGTATATAATCGATAGCAATTTAAGCGCTTATAAAAGGACCATATAGCCTGTCACAATTATTTATAACTAATAATATCCATGGGTCTTTCATTGGTCTGTACACAGAAAATGTTTATATGCCACTCCGTTGTGTTGATTTGCATGCTGTTTATTATAGCAAATGTCTACTGAAAAAAATCCATAGATACGTTGACGACCATTTTAATAAAATGTAATAAAGAAGATGCTATCAATACCAAGAAAATATATCACAGCGTTGAAAAACATAGGTCACTTCATCAGTCAGTTATCCAAATATCCAACTATATCCATGCAGATCGAATCAAAGCACGGTTCACAAGAATTTATCACTAAATATGTAATTGAAAATGACTTAAATATCTCGATATTAGCATAATGTACGCTCCTGGTGTCCATATAAATACCACGGATACTTGTCTATTAAGGATTATTTTAACCATTAAAGTCAAACGCAGACTCTGTTTTCTATTTAAAATTATTTTAAATTAAAAGAGAACTAGAGCTATCTTAAAATGACAACATAAAAGTGATTGTTATCTGAAAAAGAATTTGTTCATTCAAGATTTTATTATATACAGCGATGGAAGTTAATAACTAAGTGTGGTAAGATTAGGATAATGGAATTAGGGAATAAACTTTGATATATATGATAGGAAGTTTTTGTTTTATTGACACGTTAAATAAATTATGTTTTAAAAAATCAAATACTGAATTCTTAAAGCCGGACTAAAACTTTTACGGTAGGTAACAGAACTCTTTATCGGTTTTACACATTTTTTAATCATCATTTAATTGTGAAATTCGTGTTATTATTATTTTGTCCTTTACTTTTACATGTAATTTATGAATGGAATGATTGATACCCGAACCAATGTTTATACGTTATGGACAAGTATGATTGCTGAATTGCGTTACAAATGTGTTTGTTGGTTATTTATTTGATACATAATTTAGTTTGAAGTAGAGGAAAAGGGAATATTACTAGAACGTCCAGAACAAAAAAATAAATAAAAATTGTGCAAGACCGTTTGATTGAGTCTGTCATGGACTTTACAGGAAAGTGGAAGGCACCATTTAACATGTAACATTTTGAATTTGAAACATCCGCATTATTTCCAACTCAACATCTACCATTACTATATTGTTACGGACAAAAGTTAAAGGCGTAAACTAGATCAACAATTTTTCAGTAAGCTTAAAGATAACAAGTTTAGTTAATAAGTGCTGAAAGAGAGAAAAAAATGTTATAAAATAAACAAAATTTTAATTTGCTAAATTGCTCGATTTAAACTGATTTCCCACGATAATTCTTTCAGGGTGATTGTAATGAATTTTATGATAAAATGATACATTACACGTGTAAGAATTGTACTTTTTTCAATTATAATTATACATGTATATGTTTCGTGTCACTCTTTATCCTACTTGTACTGAATTAAGATCTAAACAATTGTTTTACTCTTAGACTAATTTATTAAGCACACATTTATATATATTTGTGTTTGGCAGATGCAACATTCACATTTTCATTACTATATGGTAAAAAAAAATAACTGTGCCTATAATAACAATGTGAATAATTGTGCTCACTCACAGTTAAAACCGAAAATAGTATTGTGCATTAGTTTCTACAATAAAATATGATAAACAAGATCAACAAGGAAAGGCGGCGTTCAATGAACGCAAATCCATGTCTATCTGTAAACTACACCTTTCCTTACACATATCTTGCATTGAGATAGAAATAACTTATACTTATAGTATGGCTAAACTGAATTTTGTATAATAAATGGATGTTCTGGTGGTACATGTATATACCGATACAGGTTCAAACTATAGTCAAAACCTATTTTAAGGATACTGTAAAGTGAAATAATGCTTATGCATATTTTCGTTGTAAAGTTGATTTGAATTAGATATAAATTACAAAGGTTCACAACGGTATAAGAATAAGAGTGTACGTGTGTGTGCGTGCGAGCGAGTGTCTTTGTGTGTGACAGTATATAAATAACAAATGGGTTTGAGGGTAACATATCATCCCGAGGAAAACACTGTTACCCGAGGCGTAGCCTCGGGTAACATTATTTTACCAGGGATGATATTTTTACTGTTACTCACAAACCCATGTGTTATTTATTTTATTACCCCGAACAAAAATACTGTGATAATCTGAAATTGTCAACTAAATCTAACTGTAACAAAAATAAACCTAGAGTAACAATAACTAAACTGTCCTTACCTTTTAAGTTTTAAGTGTACTTTAGGCATACTTGAGAAGTTTTCTTTTTCTTTCATTCTTTAAGCAAGTGATGATATCTACAAATCATAAACATAAATAAGCTAGGTTTTATTCAGAAAACAAAACACTAACCCATTTACACGGTTATGATCTGTGAAATCTTATCCTTCTGTTTCCAGATTATTCTTAGCATGGTTTTTGACAAAATAACGATGATATCCTATGTCTGTCCACCATATCTGTAACGTTTCACTGATTAAAATTGTTAAATAATCCTTTGTTGTATGCTTAAATCGTCTGCATGTTCCAGTTTGACACATAATTATTTGCATTGCAATTACTTCCGTTGAAAACGGATGTTCATTTTTTGACTATTCAACAAAAAGATAGTTTATACACGAAAAGCACACCAGGGTGCGAACAACTAAATTTTATGGGTGTCATAGTTACTCCAGAGAAGAAATTGATGTCCTATCGGGGTTTAACGTCGAAAATAAGAATGAATCAAGAGAAAAATGGCGGCCATTTTATTTCATTTTATTTAGAAAATAGACCACGTGACCAGATCTTATACTGTTAAAAAATACTGTTACATAGGTAACAGTACAAAATTCTTAGTCACGTGGTACACTTGCATTAACAGTAAAAATGACTCCCAGAGGCCTATGGGAAATTAGCATTACGAAAAAAGTGAGGGGTAATAAACTAACATATTTAGTCGCATATGTTTTAATCCGCGTGAGAGCAAATCGTAAATTCAAAATGTATCAAAACCTGACTCAGATGCAAGTATAATATATTGATGGACACAGTGCAATATTTGATTATTGATTTTGATTAATTCGGAATACATTGCATTACGTTTTCTAACACATGGGATACCATTTACTCAATACTGTGTTAAAAGCTCGCGTGGGATTCTAGTGATATCATCACCGAAGACGTCAAATGATTTATTGTAGTTACGAAAGATAAGGGAAATAATTAAGCTTATCTGATGATCGGTTATTATCGAGGGTTATAATGTTGGTGCCTAATGCTTTATTTCACAGAGCTAATGTTCTTTAAATATTTAAAGAATGACGTTAATTTTTACATAATGCAATGATTATCATCAGTTAAGTTTACAGATTATGTGACTTACTCGAGTTGCAAAAATGACAACGTATTCGTATTCGTATATCTCTTGCTTGATCTATAATAAGTTAAAATACTAACAATGAAACAAACAAACCTTATAACTGAATATATTCATGAAATGAACTTTGATGTAATAAAATGTAACAAGGAAATTTTTGAGATTGCGGTTTTATTTTTCATTATTTTTTGTTTTGTTTTTTATTTGACTGACTCATTCCCTTAAGCTAAGATTAACAATGAGTGAAACATACTTATTATGCATAAGAGGGTCAATGATTAACATTTCATTTAATCAATAACATTTTTTTTTACAATTGTCCTGGTAGCACAAAAGATGCTGCAAGCAAAATGATCCGGCAAACTGCTTTTTAACTTTTAGATGATTATTTTTTTGTATTTTAATTCGTGAGAAAATAAGATAACAACCCGGGAAAATTTTTTGTAAAAGTATACAATGGCTGATTATTTCATAAAAATATAAGACTTTTATCTTTAACAACGTTTTGTTATCTTATTTGTTTCAGGATTGAATAGGAATTAGCTGCTGAAGACGCATTGAAACATAAAGCGTGATTCATAGAAATCTTTCGGGAAGGTAAGTTATGATACAGTATAATATATTGTAGTTTCTTGCGGGATATAATAACTATGCATTATAAAAGACAAAATTGTTATACATTTTGGCTAATTGAGTTATGGAGAGATGATAAAGTGATAATTGAAGAATAAAGTATCTTTGTTTCAGACTATTCTATTATAATAATGACTTAAAGAACAAAATGCATGTTTAACAGATAGAATAATGACTTAACTAAATGCACAACATAGAAAACAATCAAGGTGGTTAATGTTAAAAATGGTTAAATAAGTTATTTTTTGTGATATATAGTATAGTTGTAAGTTTTTTTGCGTTGTTTTTTTTTCTTGAGAATAATGTTGTATACATTGAGACAGTATTATGATCATGGATATTTTGTCAGCAAATTATATTATTTATTTGCATTCACTATGCACATGCAATCGTAGGTCGTTATGATTTGCATACTAGATTAAATAATGTTCCGCAACAGAAAAGAGTTTTTTCCTTGTAAAATGCATTTACTACAAACAAGATAAAACGCGACTTAAAAAGGTAAATGTTGGTATATCTGAAATAAAACATAAATATAAAGGCATTCTTAATATTGTTAAAAAAACATTTTATTTGTAGGTATTTGTAACAATAATGTAACTATGGAAAGACCTTGTGTGTCTGGTGGTTTTAACCATCCTACTCAAATATATCTCATGGAGTCCGTTATCACAAAAGAATGAATGCTTCAAAAACCTTATGACCTTCACAAACAGTTATATAAACAGAACATAAGTTAATGTCTTGACTTGTGCATAGTAAGTGATACAAAGTACTAATCAGTACAATATATCTACTATCAAATACATTAACAATGTATTTCAAATACAACAACCAATTGAAGGTTCTGTGTCAAATTGAATTTAGACTTCAAACATTACTAATTGGAGTGATATACCAAGGAACGTGAATAATAAACGTAATTAGTTCCCAAAGGTATGTGCCATCGCTTCCACATCTCTCGGTAAATGAATAATGCAAACAAATGCATCAAATTGAATTAAACAGAGAAATAATGACCATAGAGTGACAAATGTGAGTTTATATTAGTCATTAAATAATCTTATTAACGTTGATTCTAATATCAGATTAGTGACATGATCGTTGATAATAAACTTGTTACATACAGCTTTGTTTCCATTGAGTATTGTTAAATTTCTGTATGTTACAATTATCGTAATACAATTATAGAAATGCATCGAGAAACAAATTATGACGTGTATACGTCTTATAATATGCGATAAAGTTGTTAATATTTACAAACATTTCATCTTAATATATTAATTTTATATTATGACTTGTTCATAAATCATAGAGTTATGCCATGATTGTGTATCAATCAAAACATTCTATGATAATGATATGCAAAATGACAGCAATCAGTGTTTTGTGTCTTGCACCTTGTAATGAATGGTAATTGCGCACGTTGTTATCACATCATATTCTTTTAAATTAAAATAATTAAATAATTAGTTCAAAGAAAATCTGATAAGTTAAAATATCGCATGTAGCACAAATAAAATAACTAAATTGACTGCATGCTGATTTTGTAAAGAAAAATTTCATAACAATGTTCAAATACTTATCAAAAGGTATTGAAGTTACTCATTTATATGAATCTAGGTCTAAGGAAGCACAAAACACAATGAAAACAATGACAGCAAAAGTACAAAAGTAGGAGTAAGCTTAAGGTTGTCTTTGTTTAGGAATATTTTGAATATTAAAACAACCTAAGTAGAATTTACGAGGGATGAATATAGTCCTATTGCCCTGACTGATGTAAGCTTATTCTAAATCACGAATGTTACTTTAGAAGAAATGATTTCCCATGAGCTTATAAATTGCCGATTGAATATCTCTGCTCATGAAGATTGAATCAAGAATCTAATCCCAATCTTTTGTTAGAAAAGAAAACTTAATATTCTTAGAATATCTCGTGGCAAAACATTACAAATTTTATAAAATTATGAATTTGATTTATGACCATATATTTTGTTTTTGCAATAACGTAAAGATTTTGTGTGCATTTTTACAGTTTAAACATTCTGTCTAGATTTGTGATTTATTTCGCTCCGATTGTGCTTGAAAATATTTGAGATTGTATTATATTAAATTATAAAGAAATCAAGTGATAATTAACGGATAGAACAGTTTACACACATAGCTGGTTAGTTAAAGAGCCGATTAAATTTTGGACGTATATATTTACATGTGAATGCGAAAAAAATGTCGCTGATATCCTTTTTTCTATTTGACTTGCAACTATAGAACATGTATGTCTTGACTAATCTATTGTAACTCATCTTAATTAACCTTTTATGTATGTAATTTACTTTTATTTTGTTTTTATATTTCTTTCGGTCAAGTGTTGTTTCCTGTTCCTATAGGAAACAAAAAACAAATAAATATAACTATTTCAATAAGGTAAACCTATAACATGTAAGAAAAGTAAAAAACATTTCAAGTCAAATTATTTTATTGTCGTCTGTAACTAGGCTTGTAAAACAAATCAAATCGCATCTGTCGAAAGGCAAGCTTGATGATATTGCTGTTTTAATTCTTGTGTTGTAGCAGCTATGTTCCAAGTCTAAAAAATCAATTATATACATCGGAGATTTCTTGTTTTCCATTTATTTATTTGCGTATATATGAACATGAGCATAACTGTAAAGATTGCAAAATCTAGAGAATTACAACTAGTTTAAATTGGTAATCGATTCATAAGTAATAGAAAAGAGGGAACATCGAAGTATGTTAACTGTAAGATAAAGTCGGACCATAAGGGAGACTTTTAGACGAATTGATATGAACAACTACGACTACTATAATTACTGACTACTTCACACGTGTGTTGAAATTGTATTTTTAATTATATCATAACCACAACCTTAATGACATGGACAACGATCTTTAAGGTAACATTTTTATTAATACAATATTAATTTGCACAATTGTTGGCAATGTTTTATTTGTTCAGAAATATCCTTCAGCTAGGAAGTGGTTCTACAGAATAGGCTTTTCTTTGTTCATGTTTGATAAAATGTCTCCCTTTATTGAATACAATTTTTAATATTACTGGGTCTTTCATATTAAAAACAAAGTGACAAAACAATAGACTTTTTATGTGTTTAAATGAAAAAAGATATATTGACAGGCAGAACAATCAATCGTCTAGTATTTCTTGTTAATTTCAATACTAGGGTGTGACTTTCATTTTGAATCCGCTATGATGTGTTATTTACCATTAAACGTTCACCAGCTTTTCCTACTCTTATTTATAAGCTCGTAAGATATGTTATGTACCGTCTTTTTCATCTGTAAGTCGGTGCTAAATCTTGTTTTTGCAAGTAATAAAGATATAACGTATTGTATTTATTATTATTTCCTGCGTTTAACAGCATGATGATACAACTATTTTTGCAGTAAAATTGTTGCAGTTGCAGTTACGTTATTCATTTTGTAAGAAAATATAAGAAAACCAAAACTCAAGACGTTGCGTACAGTAAAATATGTTTGTTATTTTTAATATCATCTGTTATGAATAATTAAACTATTAATATGTTATGGCAAACTTTAAAAATTTGCAATGCTTTTTTTATTACTTTCGTCTTGATTGTATCGTCATATTGTATAAATACTGTCGAAATAATAATGTACTGATAAATTCACTTAAAGTAGACCATTGGTAATGCATTACCTCCACTTTGGAGAGTATCCAAATAGGCAACTACATTGAAATAGAGGGGCGTGAGTTCAAACCGCAGAAGGGCCAACTTTTTTTTTCTTTCTTTTTTTTCTTTTTAACATTATTTATGTATCACTTTGATCCCTTATGGAAGAAAAAAGTGTTTGATTTAAATTATATTATTATTGTAGGTATTTATTTGCTGAATAATGACAAAATTTATAGTAAATACATTGAAATAGGATACCAGATATTTTCAAAGTGTAATAAAAACTGCACGGTGAAAGTATTTTCTACTTCGCATGATCAACCAATATACTTTTAAGAAAATTTAGGCCAACTTTGAAAACAGCCCCGCATTGTGGTTTGTTTTAGGGATATTTTGAATATGGCTTTTTATATAGGGAAATGGTCAAATTAGTGTTTAAAGTGGGTGGGATAAGGTAACATTTTTATACATATTAAGAACATTTTGTTTAGAAACAAACATTTTGCTTGTGTAATTTGTTACCTGAATGTTATTTTTTGTTTCTTAACAATGAGCAATAGGAAAACATTTTTCATTACATTGATTTTATAGATTATTTAGAGTTTCCTCATTTCTGATAATAAGCCGTTCTAATGGCAACGTCTTAGTTCAGAAATATATCCATAACTCATAAACCACACGGTAAATTTTATTTAAATTTTGCATACAGGTGACGTGACCTTGAAGACATATAACTATCCTATGGTGTCAATTACACAATTCCTTATAGTGCCCATTACCCATGGTCTACCTTATAGTGACAAAATGGAAAATATACAAGTTATATAGTGTGTTAAAGACAAGATTATGCACATGTACGCACTAATTTCCCGCCATATTGAAGTTTATGAAACAAGATTATACATTATCAACATTTGGATTCCTGCCAGATTTCTTTTTGACAATGTCATACCATGATTTAATATAGTTGTAAACCGTACCATATACATTTGAAAACTGATCTTTTCCCTAAGGGGGCGTATCTTTAACCATCGGTTATGATAATGCAAAAAATTTATACTTTTATAAAAACACGAAATTTGGAGAAAGTGCCCATTCCCAGGTTGGTTGGTCATTACTAAGAATTTCTCGTTATTTCTTGATTTTATTCAGCAATTTATTTTCACGGTGGCTATTTTTTAATTTTAACATTCCGTGTGTTACTCTATTTTCCAAATTTTAAAAATGTATCAAAATGCATTTTTTCATTTACATATTTTATTTTATAATAAGCATTCATGGCGTTAAAAT